TGTCCATGACCATGTCCAAGCATACCCTACAGCCTATGTAAACATTAAGGTGGGAAATGAAGAGCATAGTTTGTTGGTAGGCATCAGCAAAAATTTGCCTAAAGATGTTAGCATAGTTTGTTGGTAGGCATCAGCAAAAATTTGCCTAAAGATGTTAGCATAGTTTGTTGGTAGGCATCAGCAAAAATTTGCCTAAAGATGTGATTCTTGGTAGAGATTTTCCCAATGTTGAACTGTTGTTAACAGTGATAAGACCCATGACGTTCATAGCTTGGTCATAACTATAGGGCTCAGGCTAGGAATGATAGGCTTACAGAAGAGAAAGAATTGAAAGAAGAAAAGGCTTGTGGCATAGTTCCCAGGCAGTTAGATGAATCAAACATTTCCAATTTTAAGAATGAATTTGGACATTTGGATGGACAAATGTTTATGGAAAATCCTCCTAAGGAGGTGGTTTATAAGACTAGGAGTGAAAAAAGTAAGGTTAGGAAAGAGTTTGCAAAGAAAGAGGAAACTAAGTCTAGTCAGAAGGGAGAGTTAGATATGTTGGACATAAGTGTAGATAAAATTAAAGAGTATCAGATCAAGGATAGAACCTTGGATCCTCTTAGAAAACAGATGTTAGTAGACAGGAAAAGAGGAGATAGTCTGTAAAGAGGGCGTCTTATTCAGACAAGTTTTCCCTAAAATCCAGTCTGAACCAGTAGAACATTTAGTGGTTCCAAAACCGTGTCGTAACCGTGTGTTGAAAGTCTTCATGATATTCCACTGGCAGGTCATGTGGGTAGAAAGAAGACGCTAGACAGGATCAAACAGCGATTCTTTTGGCCTTGAGTTAGAAAGGATGGGGCAGAGTATTGTAGCACTTGTGAGAGTTGTCAGAAAACTTCAAAGTTTAAGACTAAGTTTAAGGCCCCGATGGTTCCAATGCCCATAATTACAGTAGCGAACCATTTCAACGGATTGCTATGGACATTGTTGGTCCACTGGAACGCAGTAAGTCAGGGAATAAGTATGTTCTTGTCATATGTGACTTTGCAACTAAATATCCCGAGGCTATTCCGCTGAGAAGCATCAAATCTACAAAGATAGCTGATGAGTGGTTAAGTTGTTTTCTAGAGTAGGGGTGCCTAGAGAAATTTTGACTGATCAAGGGTGAAACTTTACCTCTAAATTGTTGAGTCAGATTTATAAATTATTGTTGATTAAAGGTCCGACTACTTCTCCATACCATCCACAAACAGATGGATTGGTCAAGAGGTTTAATGGTACTTTAAAGTCAATGATTAGGAAGTTTGTTAAGGAAGATCCCCAGAATGGCACAAGATGCTTTCGTATTTGCTGTTTGCTTATAGGGAAGTTCCACTGGAGTCCACAGGGTTTTCCCCATTTGAGTTGTTGTATGGTTGGAAGGTGCGGGGTCCACTTGATGTAATGAAAGAAATGTGGACGGGCACAGTGACAGGCTGTCAGAGCATTGTGTCACACGTCGTTAAGATGAGAGATAGATTAGCCTCAATGAAAGATTTAGTAAGGGAAAACATAGAGCAGGCTCAGAAAAGCAGAAACAAACATACGACCATAAGTCAGTTTGTAGAGAGTTTAGTCCAGTTGATGAAGTTTTGTTGCTCTTACCATCTAGTAGCAATGCGTTAGAAGCAAAGTGGCAGGGTCTATACAAGATTTCAAGAAAGATGGGCCCAGTAAACTATGATGTAGAAACTAATGACAAACGGAAAAAGTCAAATATCTATCGTGTAAACCTCCTTCAGAAATTTAATCGTAGACCTATTGAGGCTATGATAGCAATAACTGAAGTATGTGGACAGGAAGAAGGTTAGGATAGGGATGTTACTTGGTCAAAGGGTCCTAGTTCTAATTTGGATTTAGATTATGGTGAAGGGTTAGAGGAAGCGCAGCTTCAAGATTTGGCTGAAGCGTTTTCAGAGTATGAGTCAGTGTTACAGGATAGGCCTGGGAAAACTACAGTGATAGAGCATGATATTGAAATGGAACAAGGAGTGCATCCAGTTTGACAAAAGGCATCCAATTCCACAGGCTAAGATAGATAAAGTAAGGGAAGAGGTAGAATCTATGTTGGAACTTGGGGTAATAGTAGAATCTAACAGCCCTTGGTCTTCTCCTTACCTAATGGTACCAAAGCCTGATGGTACAGCTCGCTTTTGCGTAAGTAGTTTGAGCAAGTTTGATGCATATCCTATGCCAAGAGTAGAAGAGATAATAGGTGGAGTTGGTCCAGCTAAGTTCATAACTAAGTTAGATTTAAGCAAGGGTTACTGGCAAGTTCCCTTAACAGAAAGGTCAAAGCAATACACAGCTTTCTCAACACCTTTTTGTACCAGTTTCAAAGAATGATGGATCATCTGTTGCGTGGAAAAGAAGGCTATGCAGCAGCCTATATGGATGATCTTGTGATCTTTAGCCCAGATTAGGGAAGTCATGTCCATCATATCAGAGAAATATTTCAGATCTTCAAGCAGGCCAACTTGACAGTAAAATCAAGCAAGTGTAGTTTTGCACATAGCAAAGTGCATTATTTGGGGTATGTAGTAGGAGAGGGGATGGTGCGACCTCAAAAGACTAAAGGTAGAAGCGGTAGTAAATTGGGAGCAAACCAAAAACTAAGAAGGATGTCAAACCTTTCCTTGGGTTGACAGGGTACTACCGTAAGTTTATCCCTAACTATGCTGACATTGCAGCTCCTCTGACTGATCTGACGAAAAAGAAATTACCAGATAAAATTAAGTGGATGCCTGATTGCGAGGAGGCATTTGTAAAGCTGAAAACAGCATTGTGTTCTGGTCCGGTTTTAAGAAACCCAGACTTTAATGCAGAGTTCATTCTGCACACTGACGTGTCAGGTGCAGTGCTCAGTCAGTCAGGCCCTGATGGTACTGACCATCTTGTGTTGTAACTTAGTTGTAAGATGCTACCAAGGGAGCGAAATTATGCAACTATCGAGAAGGAGTGTATAGTCATAAAGTGGGCAGTAGAAAGTCTACAGTAGGAAGTTTAAGATAGCGACTGATCATCAGCCACTAAAATGACTGAATGAATGAGGGACACCAACAAAAGACCCACTTGCTGGAGTCTTGATTTGCAACCTTATTGCTTTACAGTGGTGCATAGAAGGGGTATTTCCAACAGTAATGCTGACGGCTCTCCCGTAAAACTTAATGTTACAGCACAGTTTATAAATGTTTGGGAAAAAAAAAAAAAAAAAAATAACAGTTGTTTGAAGTTTGCCTCTTAAATGTACGAAATCTATATTTTGCTTTTCTAATGATGTTGTTGTCATTTAGTTTATGTGATTGTGTATTTCTACAGTGTACAGTATATTCAGTTACAAGTTAAAGATACTGTATATTTTCATTCATAAGAGAGTATTTTGTTGTGGAAAAGGTTAGTTTTATAAAGCCACATAAACCAGGCTCTCAAAACGGAAGTTTTGAGCTCAGAAAGAGGGGGGAGGGGAGTGTAATAAATTACCATTCCTTGCCTTATTTTTATTATTTAACATATTTAATACATAGAACATTCTAGAATTACATTTAATTCACCAAATAAACAAGTGTAAACCACATTGGTAATTATAAGAACACATGACACCATGTAGAATCCAAGAGTAATATTTGGAAGTTTCTGGAATTTGGGAACTGTAGAGGAAATATGGAATGCTCTTGAATGCTCTCGAGTTCTACAGTAGGGCTAATATATATAAGGTGAGAGCTTAGTCTTTTGAAAAAAGCTCTTTTTGAAACACATGTTAATGTGAATAATGATACCGGATTCTTGTTGGAGTTTATACAGAACAAAAGTTTATGCGAGAGTTGTGTTACAACGTTGTGAGCTGTATTTGTATTTTATATGTCAAAGAGGGATTCCTATTCATTGCTTTACAGCTCGGAAATATGTCAAATAGGAATTCATGACACTATTTTAAGATAAATATGAGAAATCTGGACCCATTTTTCAAAAGTGGACTCATTTTGCATAAAACTGCATAATTTGGACAAATTCTTTGTGAACCCATTACAAAAATTGTGTGGGACTGTCCCAATAGCTGGCTACGGCATTGATTACCAAATAAAACACCAAATGTAAAAAACAGAACTCAATATGAACTAAATATGATATATTTGAGGGGAATGGTGAAATCTATTGCCCTGAGGTGATGTGGAGGCCGTAGTCTATCTTCCCGAGGGCCCGAGGCAAAATGGGCTACGGTCCCTACATCACTGAGGGGCAATAGATTTTACCGTTCCTCGAATTTAGAGTAGTCAATATTTGTAGTTAGTGGTTTGGTGCAGTGTGAACGGTTTGGTTTCCCAAACTCGGGGTTGGGGTTTCAATCCCCTCGCTGTGTATTTCACTTGTGTCCTTGGGCAAGGCACTTTGTCTGCATTGCTTCTCTCCACCCAGGAGTATAAATGGGTACCTGGTAGGGTTAAATGCCAAAATCCGCTGAAGTAGGCGTTTAATCCAAATCTTGTCATAGAGGACACAGTCCCCTTTACCGTCAGCAGCGCGATGTAGTGGGTCTAGAGTTTGCACATGGCAACAGGTTAAAAAAGTACCATTTTTGTGGGGAATAGTACTTGCTATTGCCTGACTACTTACCCAATCAGATGCCTAGAATCTATGTATGAGGTGTATATATATATATATATATATATATATATATATATAAATTAAATAACAAATTAAACAGCATATACACTGTAACATAAGTTTCATAAATAACACTTGCACTTGAAGAGTCCAAGAATAAATGTATCTCAAAAAGGCATGCAAAATATGTCAAAGAATTATAAATCAAAACTATTAATCATGCAAGAAGGTAAAGCCAGCAAACCAACTTACATATTTTTATACCATTTGCATGGAATTCACATTTACATAGTGTCACCAGCATCTGCATGTATCATTGGCTGGTTGCCAAGATTTGACAGACCTAAGAGTAATCAAACACTTCATGAAATACTTAAGTCTGTGAAAGCATGAATGCATGATGCAAAATATATTTTTAAACTACGATTCTCATCAAGGTTGTTCGAAATACCACCTTATTAACATGTGGTGGCAAAAGTTTATAAAGTTTATAAATTTACAAATAATTTAATATTGTATATTACTAAAAGAAATATACAAGGTCTAACCCTGTGTATGTGTCTATTTGTCAGTCTTTCTATACCTTGAGTCAGAGTTAAAATGAGCATTTAGAAGCACAAAATTCTGTTGTCGAAACTTTCAAATTATATTAATTGATGGAAAGATACCGAAGACAAGATGGATACACATTACTACTTATAAGAATGTTCGGAATTCTGCAGGATATTCAGGGTGATTTGCCTCATGAATGTACTGTAAACAAAAACTATAATTTCCAAAACAATTTGTGTAGTATTACAATAATGCTGTATACCAAAATTTAGTCGTAGACAAAAATCTACAATTCACATAAAAACTAATACGATAACTACACATTCACATCAGCAACCTACTTTTCGCTGCTTTAGTGACCGTTTTCATGGCCTCCTTGACAATATGCTCAGCGATCTCAACATTCTGTGGCTCTACATTGTTAACATGCTCATCTACAGCGCCGCGCTCAACGACATCTAGCATTGGTTGGTTGCCAGGCGCCCCATCAATTATGTTAGAAATATCTAGAAACAGATTTTGGGTTGTGTTAGTATAGGATGCATACAGAAGGGTTATGGTATACAAATAATGAATGTTTATGAGCGCAATGGGAAGAATATTTTCATTATTTGAAAGATTGATTGATCCATTTAATGAGCGAGAGCCGAGTTGAATGGAACAGTCAATTTTTCAACGAATAAAAATATTCTTTCCATTGTGTGAATAAAAAACATTATTTGTTTTATAACACACCTAAAATAGATTCTTGTCATTTGATATAGGCCTATCATTCAAAAAATCTACCTTTTTTTTCTGAATGGAGATTCTCATCATTTAGCATTTTATGAAAAAAATCTACCCTATTTCTAAATGGAACAGTCCTGCATCTTTTTAACCAATCAAAAGACTGTATTAGGTTGAAGTCATATCGTTTCCTAGGCACCGTGCAATGGGCAAAAATGAATGGAAAGAATATGCACAGATGGAAATAAATTTCCATAATGAGTGACGAAATGGGATAAATAACCAATGTCACATGATACGAAATCCACCAATCAAATGACAGGGGTCTATTAGGTGTGTTATAATATATTATACTGTAAGCATGCACTATGTGTTATATTTGCTTAGAGAACTCAATTGCTAAATGAAGGTTGTAAACCTCATTGTATTTGTGCCTTTTTATAAGAAAGAAATGAACTTATTTCTGCAACAAGAGCCTTCTCAATTTACAGCTTTCCATTGAAAAATTTATAAGAAAATATAAACAATGAACAACAAACACCCTAATTATAAACAGTATCTGACAAAAAACACAATTAATTACAGAACAATGATTAGAGAACCAGCTTGCAATTTACTGAAATTTCTATTTTTATATTTGAATTTTATCATGTTAGCCTTTTGTTAATTAGGATAAATTTCAAATTTTCTTTTTTGTCTGTCTATCACGTTTTCATATGTGTATATGTGGCAAAGACAAGCCAAACCAGTCACTCGTAGGAAAAATCAATCTTTAGTTATTAATACAGTTTAACTGTACAATGAGAGCTATAAAATAGTAAAAAAATCATTTAAATCCGACACTTCGTTATGAAGTTACACAAGTTTAAACATACAGCTGCTTAAAGAACAATATTTGAGAAATCAGCCTTCAAAGTTTACGATTTTAGGCATTTCTTAGGCAGAAACCATCACCAAATCGTTAAAAATTGTTGTTTTAACATTGAAAATGAGGAAAATAACA